TCAAAGCCAGAGGTCAGGGTCAGCCTGTCCCAGCTGGACCAGCTCACCTTCACAAGGCTCCCTTTACCTGGAACGCTCCATTCTTTTTCTCTGGGGGCCACTAGCCTCCTGATCTTTCACCTTGGGACACTTTCTACATTCTCTTAACCTCTGGGGCCACAGCCCCTCCCATCGCTTCATCAATAATACCAACAAAGATGACAACAGCAATCAGCATCCCTGTACTCACATGACAACTGGCCAGGCACCTTCTTATCAACTGTGGTAGTCCTATAAGGCAAACCAGGAAGGACCCACCAGCCCCACTTAACCCAGGAGCAAAGTATCTTCAGCACAGTCACACAGGAAGTCACTGACTGAACTGCATCTGGATCCGAGGGCTTCATCCTCAGCAACAGTACTGTGGCCCTAGCCCCATCTCATTCTCAGCCTCTCTTCTGCCCTGTCTAGCAGTTATCAAAAGGGGCCACTTGAGAGAGGTATGATTTGAGTTCAGGAGGTCTTGGTTGCCTGGGGTTCACCCTCACTGGCTAGTCTCGCCTTTGTAGATTCCACCATTAATCACCTGAAGGCGTTATGGAGCCTCCTTGGGAAACATAGCCTCTCTGGTCAATGGAGTGGCCTCCCCAGATATCCACATCCTAATCCCTGAAACCTGTGGATATGTTACCTTATACATAAGAGGGACATGACAGATGTGGTTAAGGACTCTGAGCTAGGGAGAATACCCTGGATTATCCAGGTGGGGCCACTGTAACCACAAGGGTCCTTTATAGGGAATGCAGGATCTTCCTGGGTTGGGAAGATCCCCTGGAGGAGGGCATGGCAACCCCCTCTAGTAATCTTGCCTGGTGAATCCCCATGGACAGAGGAGCCTGGTGGGCTACAGTGCATGGGGCCACAAAGAGTCGGACACGACTGAGTTACTTTATTAAACACAGGAGAGTCTGAAGCAGAGAAGAGAATGTGACTATGGAAACAGGTCAGAGGGATGGGGTTCCAAGACAGTGGGTGCAGGCAGCCTCTAAAGGCTAGAAGAGGCAAGGAACAAATTCTCCCCAAGCCTCTGGAATCCTGATGACCCATTTTAAGATTTCTGACCTCCAGGATTTTAAGATCATACATCTGTGCTGTTTGAAGCCACTGAATTTGTGGTGATTTGACACAGTGGCAATAGGGTCACTTCCCGTGACCCTCGTGTGCCCTCTCAATCTCAGACTGAGGGAGTGAGCCTGCATGCTGTCCACCTCCTCCAGCTTACAGGTGGGGAAATGGAGAATCAGTGAAACGGAACTTCTTGTGCAAAGCATACGGTGAATCATCAGTGGCTGTGCTGAGCCAAGGACCTCATGTTTCTGACTGCCCTTCATGTCTCTGTTACCCCACTCCTAACTGTCCCTCCAGCCCTGTTCTGCTTTCTGTTTTTTTGTGTTTTCACATTTTCTTATTGCCTGAACTCATTTATTTGTCTTACCCAGAAACACTTTTGAGATGAACGAATATGGCTATCAGTTATTCATATCCTAGTATGAATTAGCAGATAGTAAGGCAACCCCAGATGAAGCTTTGCAGTGAAGCCTTTGGGGAACCCAGAGAACTAGACAGAGAGGCTTAAAGGGCAAGGTCAGCTGAGCTTCCCCGATAATGAAGCCAAGGGCACAGGGGCAAACGCCAGATTGTCTCTGGGGTGGTAACATCATCCTGAGGCTGTTGGCCGCGGCTGGCTCCAGCTTTAACTTTAAATATTATGATTCCCATTTTCCAGATGAGAAACAGGCTTCTTGAAAAGGTAAAGCCCAGGTGCCCATAGCTTCAGATCAGCAAATGATGGACCCAGGATTGGATGGCCTTAACAATATAAGGTAGAAGTGTCATAGAGAAAAACAAATCTGACTCCACATTGGCTCTGTTGCCAAGGCATGCTGGTTCTGCACCTTTGTCTCCTTAAACAGTAAAAGAATGATGCTTACAGCCTGAAATACACATAATAACCCTTTCTCAAGACTCTACCTTTCAGGCTTGACCATTTATATTTATTTCATTCATATACAGACAAAAATTTATGGAACAGAAAATAACATGTGTCTTGTTAAAGGTTTACAGGAACATTTTAGCAATCCCACGTGGATAATTGCAAGGACAAAGGATTACCTTGGCCCCACCGGGGTCTGGCTGACACCCAGATGTCTGCAACATCCATCACACCCCCTCCCCTTTGGGTGTAAAAGAAGCCTGAATACTAACTCAGGGAAGATGGTTCTTTGAGATACAAGTCAACCATCTTCTCGGTCTGGTGGCTTTCTGAATAAAGTTTCTATTCCTTACCTGACACTTTGTCCCCTGTTGTGTGTGGGAGCAGCACAAGCTCAAACTCGCTAACAGAACTGGTAACACCCTCTTCCCCCAGCTCCCCTTTTTAACATGAACCAAACTTTAATTTGAAGGATGAGCTTCTGATAATGGGACTTCTGGCCTCATCAAGGGGTGGCAGAGGAGATTCTAAGTCAGTCACATGCTGGGCCTGGCTTGTACTGGCTGGCGAGAGCCAGTAATGCAATATCTGGGAGGCCTTCAACAAACAATCATGGAATTAACCAATTCCACCTTCAGTGGTAAGTCAGTAGCTTGAAACTGGTTATGGTGGGAATGTTTATACCATGGCAAATTCCACATATTGGGCCTTCCCTTCCCTTGCTCGCCACTGCTGAGAGTTGGTTGCTAAACCTCTACCGGGACCCCGATCTTGACCCCAAGGAACCTGGCCAGACCCACCTGTCTTGCTGCCTCCCTGTCTGTGTCACCCACCACCTCCCCTTGTCCCCCTTTCACATCAGCCCCCCAGCCGAGGGCCCTGGAGGTCAGGGTCACATGCAGGCCCCTCCCAGGCCCCCAGAGCACTCCCACACTGTGTGCTGCCCACAGTGCAGCTGAGATCAGTGAACAAACAAACAAGATCAAACGTGACCCCAAGAGGCCACGGCAGCTTTCATAATATAAAACAAAGAGTAACACTGGAGATCACTACAAGTGGACACTAACTCTGCTGGCTCCCCTGGAAAAGGATTTGGAAATTATAGCCTTTAAAAAGGCCACCTTAATGCTCCCCTCCCAGAAGCCTGCCTGGGCCTCTAGCCTGGTGAAACCCCCTCCCCGGCCGCCCAAGCACTCACAGAAGGTTGCTCCTCAGCCTTAAATCCACCTCCCCAGATGCAGAGTTGCCTTGTGAGGATCACCTGCCTCCTCTGCTGGACTGGGGATTCCCAGAGGTTGGAACTCCCCGACATAGGCTAGCATCTGAGAGGCATTCAACAGATGACCATGGAATTAATGAACACAGTCACGCCTCCCTCCCTCCCCCACCGGTGCCCTGCATACAGTGGAGCCGAAAGCCTCCTTTCACGAGTTATTAATACTTCCTCAGCCTGGGCAAGCCCTGCCTCAGTGGCCTTGGGAGCCGGTCACGATGGAGCATGACCAGCCTACCGCCCCTACTATTTCCACTGTAGCCAAGTTCAAGGCCAATCCCAGCTCCCTGTGACTTTCCTGTGACCACCACACACACCTCTTCCCCTGCCCCCTCCCCTCTCTCAGAAGTCTCCTCTGACTGCTTTGGGAGGACAGTGGTACAGATGGAGTCCCAAGGTCAGGACTCATCCTGGCTCAGCGAGCAATAGGACCCCTGCCCCACCCGACAATAACTAAAGCATTCCTAGCCTGCCTTCCTGGCTCAGCTATGGCTGGAAAAGCTGAGGCTGGTGTTGTGAAGTGACTTACACTCTGACTGCAGTGTTAGCCTGTGAAAAGTGCTCTGGGGTTGGGGAACTGGTAACTGCATTGGGATCTCTATTTTCTTCCTCCTGGGTTTGGCAAAACATCAGATATTAAACTCTATTCTCTACATAACCACCACAGCATCAACAACAATACCCACCACTCACATAGCACTTACCGCGGGCCAAGCTCTTCCATGCATTAATTCATTTCAGCCTTGCAATACCACTCTGATACTACTGCTATCTCTATTTTGCCTGTGAGGAAACTGAGGGAACATGCCTAAGGCCACACGGCTAGAAAGTAGGGGAGGGGGGATTTGAACCCAGGAACAGAGTCTGGGCTAGCTCATTAAAAGACAGGGGTGAAGGCTGGGGACTAGAGATGGGAAAGTGACAGGAGACCACACTGCCATGGCTCGGGATGCCTGAATGGAAGGCTGCTTGTGGGGCTGATGGTATGTGAATGAAAAACAGGAAAAGGAGCTGGGAGCCACATAAGGACAAGAGGAAAAAGGTCCAGGGCCATGGGAATGGCACGCAGGGAGAGAATTCAGGAAAGACCAGCTCAGGGGGTGGGGTAGGTCTCTGCTCCACTGCACAGTGTGGGATGCCTTTGGGCTTAAACCTTCAGGCCCTGCAGCCACAAGACGAAGTCAGGGCTTTATCCAGAGACCTTGAATTCCATGAGGCTGTTTTCTCATCATAAAATAAATAAGACTTATGGCAAAGGATTCCGTGGGATTAAATGTGGTACAGCTATTACAGCAGCTAACACCATGGATGCCTGATAGTGTGCTAGGCGTAGGAACAAGGAGCTTCACATATATTACCTTATTTAATCCTAATATTTACCATATAGAAATTAAACATGATTATTAGTCCTGTTTTATAGCTGTGAATACTGAGGCACAGAGCCTAGGGAACTGGCCTAAGAGCAAGTGAGTGGTACACCAGAAACTAAAATCCAAAATTCATGCCTGCTGTTTTTGGATCATGCAGCATGGCTTAGTTCTCTGACCACTGCTGAACCCATGCCCTTGGCAGTAAAGGTGCAGAGTCTTTACTCTGGACTGCCAGAGAATTCGCCAGAGTCCATATTTCTAAAACCCCAAATTACATTCCCTCTCAAAGAAAATAACAAGTGAACTGCAGTCCCACCCACCCCAAATTTCATCATCAAGTTTTATGTGTGTTACGATACACACTACTCTCATAAAGACTTTTTGAGACAAGCACTGTTATTATTTCCATTTTACAAATGATGAACTAAGGTTCAGGGAGGGGGAGTAACAAGCGCAAGGACACACAGCAAGTATACCCCAGGACTAGCAATCAAGTCCCAGCAGTCTGCTAGAGATCTAGAGCCTTGTCGGGGGAGCTCTCAGCCTGCCTCTCCCCGAGGTCACTCATGCCCATTACATCTTCCTGGGCAGTGAGCCTGCTGCTCTCAGAATAGCTGGACGGCAGGGCCTGTTGCCTTCTGAGCACAGTGGCCAGGAAAGCCTTGAGGTACTGGCGGAAGCGGCGGCTGGAGAAGGCGTAGAGGACGGGGCTGAAGCAGCAGTGCAGGAAGGCGACGCTCTCCGTCACCTGCAGCGCATAGTCCAGGCGCTGGCTGAGCCTGCAGTCCCCAAAGACTTGCAGGTCCAGCAGCGAGTGCAGAAACAAGGTGAGGTTGTATGGGAACCACAGCACAAAGAAGGCCACCACCAGAGCTATGGCCATCCTCAGGGCCCGGCTCTGGCCCGGGGGCCTCAGGCTGACCAGCACAGAGCCAATGCGGGAGTAGAAGAAGATCATGGCAAGGAGGGGGAGGAGGAACCCCAGGAGGTTCTGCTGGAAGCGGAGGAAGAGCTTCCAGACGGTCCCATGTCCCCCATAATCCGCATAGCAGTCCCACACGCCGGGGGAGTTTTCATGCGTCCTCACAAAGACCATGTCTGAGACGGCCAGGGCCACAGCCCACACAGTGGCTGCAAGCAGCAGGCTCTTGGCCCGGGTCCTCAGTCGGTGGTAGGGCCGAGCGCAGACAATCTCCAGGTACTTGTCCAGGCTCATGCAGCTGATGAAGAAGATGCCACTGTAGAAGTTCATGGTATAGAGGGTGCTCACCGCCTTGCATAAGAAGCTCCCAAAGACCCAATGCCACGCCACAGAGATGCCCCAGAAGGGCAGCGTCACCACAAACAGGAGGTTGGAGATGGCCAGGTTCAGCAGATAGGTCTCGGTCATCCGTCTTCGAGGCACAAAGCGGAGCAAGACCGCTAGGAGGAGGAGGTTTCCAACCAGGCCCAGCACAAAGATCAGGCTGTAGAACAGAGGCAGAAAGACTCTGCCGAATGACAGCACCTCGTCCTTCCTGCACACCATGAAGATCAGGTCCTCCGGGTAGTACTCATAGTCATAGAAGGAGCTGCTGTTCTCAGAACTGGCCACCTTGGTGGTGGGCAGCAGAGGGGAGGCGGTGGTGGCCATGGCGGGAGGATGCACCCAGTCCTGGAGCTCTGCGGGCCAGAGAGCAGTGTGAGCCACAGGAGACGGATCCAGGCCTTCCCGCCCTCTCCAAACCCACTGTAGCCCCTTTTCTGGGGTGTCCAATAGACTCTCCACACTTACACCGGTACCTGGAGGCTAGTGCCTCGGAGTATAAGTGCGGGCAGCCCAAGGCTACCACGTGATAGTGAGGTCATCTTGGGTAGGTGACGTAACCTCAGGTGTTCTCACAGTACTCACTTCTCTTCTTTATTTTGTCCCTCACCATTTATAAAGACTGAGAAGGTCATTTCTGTCTTCTTTATTACTGAGGGATACCGATTCACCTGGGCTTTCCAGGTGGCACAAGTGGTAAAGAACCCATCTGCCAATGCAGGTAGATGTAAGAGACATGAGTTCGATCCCTGGGTTGGGATGATCCCCTGGAGGAGGGCATGGCAATATTTTTGCCTGGAGCATCCCCCGGACAGAGAAGCCTGGCAGCTTGAGCCCATAGGGTTGCACAGAGTCGGACATGACTGAAGCAACTTAGCACACACCAATTCACCTTTTTATTGAGTCTGTATACCCTTCCTCATGTGTGGCTTAAAATTCTTCTTCTTTGTGTGACTTATAATTTTGTTTTTACTTTCAGGTCATGCTGCATGGCATGGGAGATCTCAGTTCGTTGACCAGAGACTGAACCCACACCCTTGTAGTGTAAGCAATGAGTCTTAACCACTGGCCTGCTAGGGAAGTCCCAATGTTTTTTTAAGAGTCTCTCTTCAGTGGGGCTTGCTTCTTCTGTAAATAGCTGGTGTGCCCACTCTGGCTTTGAGCTCTCTTTACTTCTGTCACTTGAGGATTTCCCTTGCTTTGATTATTTTTAAAGTATTTTTGGAATAACAAGATGGCAGAGGAGTAGGTAGACGTGGAGTACATCTCTCTCCATGGATTCATCAGGAATACATCTTCAGACACAGAAGATCTTGCAGAACACCAGCTGAGAGTGGACAGGAGTACCTGACCACTGGAAGAGAATATATAGAACCATGCAAAACTCAGTAGGATGAAGGAAGTAGGGGGAAAAAGAAGAGTGTGAGCAGGACTAGACCTGCACCTGGGAGGTGGAGGAACTGAAACAGGGGTCAGAGTTCACATTGGGACAACTGTTTAGGACAGAGGAGAAGCATTTGAGGCTGTTGGAGAGTGAAGCCACTGAGCTGTGACAGTGCGAACAAAATGAGAATCACACAGACAATCCTTGCTGCAGCATCAGTGGTGGGGGCATAGACTTGGATTACTGTGATGCTGAATGGTTTTGCCTTGGAAATGAACAGAGATCATTCTGTCATATTTGAGATTGCACCCAAGTACTGCGTTTTGGACTCTTTTGTTGACTATGAGGGCTACTCCATTTCTCCTATGGGATTCTTGGCCACAGTAGGAGATATAATGGTTATATGAATTAAATCCACCCATTCCTGTCCATTTTAGTTCATGGATTCCTAAGATACTGATGTTTACTCTTGCCATCTCCCGCTTGACCATGTGCAATTTACCTTGATTCATGGACCTGACATTCCAGGTTCCTATGCAATACTGTTCTTTACGGCATCGGATTTCACTTTCATCATCAGATACACCCACAACAGAGCTTCAGTTTCAGCTTTGGCCCAGCCGCTTCATTCTTTCTGGAGCTATTAGTAGCTGTTCTCCACTCTTCCCCAGTAGCATACTGAACACCTTCCAATCTGGGGGGGCTCATCTTTTGGGGTCATATCTTTCTGCCTTTTAAACATTTCATGGAGTTCTCTTGGCTAGTATACTAGAGTGGTTCACCATTCCCCGCTCCAGTAGATCCCATTTTGTCAGAACTCTCCTCTATGACCCAACTGGCTTGGGTGGCCCTACATGGCATGGCTGATAGCTTCATTGAGTTACACAAGCCCCTTCACCATGACAAAGCAGTGAATGAACCGTGAAAGAGAGATCTAGAAGACCTCAGAACTAACACCAAAAAAAAAAAAAAAAAGATGTCCTATTCAACATACGGGATTGGAATGCAAAAGTAGGATATCAAGAGATACCTAGAGTAACAGGCAAATTTGACCTTGGAGAACAAAATGAAGCAGGGCAAAGGCTAACAGAATTCTCCCAAGACAGTGCACTGGTCATAGCAAACACCCTTTTTCAACAGTATAAGAGATGACTTTACACATGGACGTTACCAAATGGTCAATGCTGAAATCTCTTTTGGTATTTGGTCAAAACCAAAGAATGATTACGTTCTCTGCGGCCGAAGATGGAGAAGCTGTATACAGTTAGCAAAACAAGACCTGGAGCTGACTGTGGCTCAGATCATCAGCTCCTCATAGCAAAATTCAGGCTTAAACTAAAGATAGCAGGGAAAACCACTAAGCCAATCAGGTACAACTTAAATTCCCTATGAATATACAGTGGAGGTGACGAATTCAAGGTTTTAGATCTAGTAAACAAAGTGCCTGAAGAACTATGGACAGAGGTCCATAATATTGTACAGGAGGCAGCAAACAAAGCCATTCCAAATAAAGAGAAACACAAGAGGGTAAAGTGGTTGTCTGAGAAGGCTTTGCAAATAGCTGACAAAAGAAGAGAAGTGAAAAGCAAGGGAGAAAGGGAAAGGTACACCCAACTAAATGCAGAGTTCCAGAGAATAGGAAGGAGAGACAAGAAGGCCTTCTTCAATGAACAATGCAAAGAAATAGAGGAAAACAGCAGAAAGGATAAGACTAGAGATCTCTTCAAGAAAATTGGAAATATCAAAGGAAAATTTCATCCAAAGATGGGCACAATAAATGGCAGAAACGGTAAAAAACCTAACAGAAGCAGAAAAGATCAAGAAGAAATGGAAAGAAGAGCTGTACAGAAAAGATGTTAATGACCGGGATAACCACAGTGGAGTAGTCTCTCACTCAGAGCCAGACATTCTGGAGTATGAAATCCAGTGGGCCTTAGGAAGCACTGCTATCAATAAAGCTAGTTAGGTGACAGAATTCCAGCAGAGCTATTTAAAACCCTAAAAGATGACGCTATCAAAGTGTTGTACTCAATATTTCAGCAAATTTGGAAAACCCAGCAGTGGCCACAGGACTGGAAAAGGTTAATCCTCATCCCAAATTCCAAGAAGGGCAGTACTAAAGAAAGTTCAAACCACTGGACAATTGCACTCATCTCCCATGCTAATAAGGTTATGCTCAAAATCCTCCAAGTTAGGCTACAACAGTACGTGAACCAAGAACTTCCAGATGTTCAAGCTGGGTTTAGAAAAGGCAGAGGAACCAGAGATCAAATTGCCAATATTTGCTGGATCATAGACAAAGCAAGGGAATTCCAGAAAAACATCTCTCTGTTTCACTGACTATGCTAAAGCCTTTGACTGTGTGGATCATAAAAAACTGTGGAAAAATCTTGAAGAGATGGGAATACCAGAACACCTTACCTGTTTCCTGAGAAATCTGTATGCGGGTCAAGAAGCATCAGTTAGAACCCTGTATGGAACAACTGGCTGGTTCAGGATTGAGAAAGGAGTACAAAAAGACTGTTTATTGTCACCCTGTTTATTTAACTTAAAACACTGAGTGCATCAGGTAACATTCCCAAGGACACACAGCAAATGTACTGCAGGATTAGAAATCAAGTCCCAGCAGCCGGCTCTAGATCTGGAGCCTCGAACCATGCAGTGGGAGCTGCTGTGAGCCCTCTCAGACTCACAAAATCGACAGTTGCCCCCTGCATGGCCCCCCTTGAGAAGCATGGCATTTGGATTCACAGCAATGTATAAAACACAATGAAAACAATACAAACCAGTCCTGACAGTTATGGGAAGCTTTCTTATACCCCAGTGCTTGCAGATCTTCCTGGCTTCCCTGTGAGAAGGGGAGCAGGTGTGCCCTCCCTGGCTTCACAGGAAGCCCAGGGCCATACCACAAGCCAGGCAGAGTTGACACTAGAGTCTTGATCACTGACTGAGTCCTGCACACACGATCCCTCTTTGCTTTTTTAATATGCATTCTTCCTGATTACCAGAGTAACATATGCTCAATGTAAAATGTGAACATGGAAGAAAAAACAGAAAAGGACCTAAAAATCCCTAATCCTACCCTCCCCCCTCCAAAGTAACCCTTGGGAACATGCTGGTATATCTTTTCTTTTCCATGCCCAGAGTCCCCATCTGCCGCACTGATCTTTCCTGGGTGTCACCTGCTGGCTTCCTGGCCAGAAGAGAGTGGCCTTGTCCAGTCCCCATGGAGTAGGGGGCCCCTTGCAGCCACCTGATAGACATGCCATCTCCTGCTCCCTGGGATCCGTGAGGCCCACCCACTCCCCATGCTCCCTGGGACCCCACATTACTCAATGTTTCCTGGCTGTTATCAGGAAACAGGGATGTTTGTGACATTGATGAAATCACAACAACCACCCCTTCACCCAAAGTTTCCTTCAATTAATAAAAACTAGGTAATTTTAGAACCCGGCTCTTCAAGGAGCTGCTGCGGAAGATTCTCAAATCTTTCCTGAATCATTTTTGCTCCCCACTTCTTTTTTTTTTTTTTTTTTTGCTTCTCTTGTTACCTGAACTTTCACCACTTGAGCTCCTTGTTTGCATTTCAGCATTATGCTGGGGTCAAAATGAAATGCCCACCCCACTGCAACTACCCCCAGGGAGAGTGGTATACTCAGCATGGTGCAGCATGGAGGAACAGACTACAGGCTGGTTCACTCATGGCTGAGCATCCCTGAGTGAATTACTTAACCTCTCTGAGCCTTAGTTTTCTCAACTCTAAAATGCTTCCCTGGTGGTGTTTCTATAATATTAATTAATAATTAAATAAGTGCCTGGCACATGACTATTGGTTTCCCCTCCAGGCCCTAAAATGACACTTAGCTCAAGTTGGGATGGATAAAAGGATATCCTGCGACTGGGACAGATGGAGGGGTTGGGATCTTGGCAGATTTGGGGATAAAAAGAGAGGATGTGGGCTTTTAAGAAGAG